CCCTAGTTGCCATTTATCTGATGCCTTAAAGACCTTAAACATATCAAGCCTTGCTGTCATATTCAACCCACATGCTGAGATGAGCTCTTCCAAGAGAACGAAAGAGTGCAGACATCAAGCAGACACCCAGCTGCTCTCCAGCATGACTTTTCTCTGAAACACCCTGAGAATCAGCTGCATTGCAGAATTGTTTTGGTTGTACCAACATGTGGGGACGGAGAGGTACAATCAGTACTTTTCATGACCTTGTTCCTACACTGATAGGTAGCTCCAAGGATGGACCTCCTTGTCTTAAGGTTTTTATAATTTTGACATAGAAGATAGAAAAAGAACTGTATTTGTAACTCTTTGTCCCATTTCTCAATTGGACTCAGGTCATCTCAATTATGCTCTCCCAAAATCTGAAGCATAACAGGAAAAACTCTCGTGAAATAATATTACTTTTTCTAAATACTCTAGAAATAGGAAAGATTGGAGAAAGAATGAGAAAGAATCTTCTCTCACCTGTGACATCAATCTTGAAGGTCAGCTTCTGGCCAGCAGCCTCGCAGGTGTACTCCCCAGCATCTTTCTTCTCCACCTGACCCACCACCAGACGACGCGATTTGCCCTCCGACTCTACCTTGAACTTCTTGCTCGAGGTGATCAGTTTCCCCTCTTTGTACCATTTCACGTCGGTCTTCTCCTGGGCCACCTCACAGCTCAGGGTGGCATTTTCTGATAGTGCAGCTTTCACCTCCTTCTGCACCTTCTCCTTGTTTGTAAACACAACTTCTGGCTCTGAAAAGAGAGAGAAATTCAGAGTGTCTCCAAGATACGATGTTGCCCAGTCCCCTTATCATGGCTTACAAGTGACACTGCAAACCAAGCCTCTTACTTGACAACACACATCTAAAACTATTGGTACAACATTCAAACTGCTTTGTGGTGAGTTTTGGTATTTTGTTTTGGGTTTTGAGTGCAGACATCGGGCAGACACCCCATCACTGTCCACCACGACATGGCTCTGAAATAGAATGAGAATCTGCTGCGTTGCACTGGTTGCACTAACATGTGGGGATAGAGGGATACAAATCAGCACTTTCCTTTTCATAACCTTGTACCTACAGAGATGGGTAGCTCCCACAGTTTTTCAAGGATGGAACTCCCCGTCTTCAACGTTTTATCAGGTTTTCCAAACAAGATATATAATAATATTAATTTTTCTAAATATTCTAGAAATAGGAAGGATTGGAGGAAGAATCTTCTCTCACCTGTGACATCAATCCTGAAGGTCAGCTTCTGGCCAGCAGCCTCGCAGGTGTACTCCCCAGCATCTTTCTTCTCCACCTGACCCACCACCAGACGACGCGATTTGCCCTCCGACTCCACCTTGAACTTCTTGCTCGAGGTGATCAGTTTCCCCTCCTTGTACCATTTCACGTCGGTCTTCTCCTGGGCCACCTCGCAGCTCAGGGTGGCATTTTCTGATAGTGCAGCTTTCACCTCTTTCTTCACCTTCTCCTTGTTGATGAAAGCATCCTCTGCCTCTGGAGTTAAGCGTACAGGGGCAGATTTAGAAAATTAATCTTTCACACACACCCCTTCCCAAATGCACACATCAGTCGTGGGACTGTGGTGCTGAAATGGATCTTCCATTCACATTCCCTACCAACTTTGTCAACTGAATGTTAACTTTTGAATTACATCAAGTGCTGGTGAAGGACTCCTTTACTTGCAGTCCAAGACAGCTTAGATGATGACCCCAAAATTGCTTTCATTTCCACGACTATCATTCTCCAAAATCTGCAGAAAAGAAGTTCATGTATCCTGATGTCCGGCAGCTCACCAGTGGATGTAGTCAGCAACAAGTGTGTTTGCTCTAAGAGGACAGGCATTAAATTGTCCAAACAACCTGAGAGCTGCAATTTGCCTTGCCAGCAAAAGCAAAGCTAGGCTTGAGAAATTACTTATTATGCTTGTGAGCATGTTCTGTGTCTGTATCTTTATTTCCCAAATGTTGCAAGGACGCATCATCCCAGAACTATGTTTCTCTAATGAATGAAAATTCACCAGCCCCCATGGTATTTGCTTAGCACTGCACCGTGACAGAATCAAAAAGCAATCTGATATATGAACTGCTGTATTTTCTTTCAATTCTTCAAGATCCATCTGAGGGATGTCAAGGTTAAACCCTGGCCTTGCTAATGTCATGGTAAAGAGACCTCGTTTCGTCAGCTACTGCTTCTCATGAGACCATTTCTAGTATTTCCTTTTAGCTGACAGAAGCCATAATAAAAAGTTTACTCCATAATAAAGAGACACTTTATTTCAGGAAGGAGCATTTGCAAGAGAATGCATGTGCTCAGAAGATTTTCTGTGTCCTTTAAGTTGTCCTGCAATAATTGAATTCTTATTTTCTATCAGTGCCTCTCCACCAGATTCCCAGGGGAATTCCCCAGTGACCTTCAGACTGCTCTGGGCTTGGGCTACTGAAATCCACTGCATTCTTAGTTTTCAAAGGGAGACAGATCTAATAGTGTGAACACAACTGCATGAGTAAACTAGGAAAACTTAAATGCTGGCTCAGTCACTGCCTGCTGAGATGGAATTCGTCAAGCTACATAACTTTCCTCGCCTTCAGTTTTTCAGGATGTAAAACAGGAATGCAGCAAATTCAATCACCTGTGACGTCAATCTTGAAGGTCAGCTTCTGGCCAGCAGCCTCGCAGGTGTACTCCCCAGCATCTTTCTTCTCCACCTGACCCACCACCAGACGACGCGATTTACCCTCCGACTCCACCTTGAACTTCTTGCTCGAGGTGATCAGTTTCCCCTCCTTGTACCATTTCACGTCGGTCTTCTCCTGGGCCACCTCGCAGCTCAGGGTGGTGTTCTCCTTCAGCACTGCCTTCACCTCCTTTCGCACTTTGTCTTTGTGTTCAAACACATCATCTGCAAGATTGGAAAGAAGAAAAAATCTAGAAAAAAAGCCAATAAAAATTAAAGTTTTGTTTCCAAGATCATATGGTACTGTGTTTTCAATGGGAGACCACCTGGTAGACTACAGTTTAACTAAATCAGCTGTAAAATTAAACAGGTTAACAGAGTCACAGTTAAGAAATGCGTAAGGAAGCTCTGGCAGGAACAGCTTGCTGCCAGACAGCACAGTTTCTGGTTGCTGCTTCTTTGGGCAGCAAGAAGAACGGCCATGCCTGAACTTTAGGCTTACACCAGCTTTCCTGCAGACACTCTGTAGGGTCATTCTCTGCAGGCCAAAGAGGATGGGCTCTCTTGGGCAAGAAGGGCATGTTCTGTTCACTTGCAGAAAAGACTGGGCTGCATATTTACAGTAAAAAGGAGATACTCCAGGTAGGATCTTTCATTTGCCAGCACTGTCCTCATATTTGGGTCCAAGTAATTTTCAGGAAAAGAAAATGATAAGGGTTGTGAAATAGTTGCATAAAAATGGAGTACCTTCACAAAGATTTATATGGAGTTGTGTCCTTATGGAATAGCATCACTTCCCAGGTATAGTCTACAGAGCACATGCTACTAGTAGTACAAAATCACAGTCATAAAATAATTTACATTAGGAGTGATCTCTGGAGGTCATCCAGTCCCACTTCCCCACTGAGAGCAGATAAAATTACATTGAGTTACTCAGGGCCATGTCCCTGAGTTCTGAATATCTCCAGCAATGAAGATCCCACAACCTCAAGGCTTCTGTTCCAGAGCTTGACCTCCTTCATAGTGCCAATTTTTCCTAGTATCTTTTCAGAACCTCCCACGTTCCAACTTGTATACTTTTCCTCCTCCTATCACCATGCATCTTTGAGAAGAACACAGAGCTGTGGACTCTATATCCTCCCATTAGATAGCTGGAGGCTACAATAGAAGCTCCCTCTTGCCTTCTCTTCGCTAGGCTGAACAAATCCAGTTCTCTCAGGCTCTCCTTGTATGATATGTGCTCCAGCCCCGTATGCTCTCGATTGCCTCTGCTGGAGCTGTGCCAGTAGTACCTTGGATTTCCAGATGTAATACCTACCAGATTCTCCAATTGGGCAGACATTGAATTAAGAACAGTAATTTGATTTTAGGCTTGGTTTTGGTAAATTCCAAGGACATCATCTTAGAAGCTGTGTATGGGAAATAACCTTGGATATAGGGATCGTAAGATGCTCTAGTCTAACGTAAATAGAGGAATTAACAAACATATCTCTGTAACACACTTATTTGGAACTAGCAAACTTGTATGTATTATAAGAACTGATTAAGGAAGAAAACATGAACAATTTGTTCAAGACTCAATGTGGTGCCTTGTATCTTCACACTAAAGTGTTCAGAATCTACATCTGACCCAGTGGAATATCAGAAAGGAAAAGATCAGCAAGGCCAGATTAAAAAAAAAAAAAAGTAACTGCCCTTTAAAATCCTTTAAGAGGCAAAGCACAAATAAGGAATGGAAAAAAGGACAACTCTGCTGGAAAGCTGTGTCTCTGGGCTCAGGAACCATAGTAATAAAGCAAGATTTGCCAAAAGTCAGTCTAGATCCAAGATCATGAAGGAGGTTAAGGCACCTAGCAAGGGATCCTCTAGCACCAGAAATATATGTAGACAAGGGAAGTGGAGCCATGATGCAAAGAATGTGTGTTTCATGTTTCAGAGCTCTTCGTATCACACTTTCTGAAGAAAACAAGCCAATGATCCTAGAAAGCATTCTCCTACAGGCTAATTTGTTCATTTTAGCTCTCACCCTCACTCTAGGTAGATGTTTTGCCCTTCAGTACAAAGCAACGGAGGTTACACAAGGAGGCTGAGGGAGTGGCTCCTAAGCTCACACATTATGTTCCACCCTAGGCAACACTTCAGTGAGAGCTTTCAGTTTCTTGTTTGAATTTCCCTGAGGGGAATGGTACTTCTTACACAAAGTCCAGTTGTTACTCCTGCTCAGTTGTATCTTTAATCAAAAGCAAGGTGAAAAGAAAGGTGATCTAGGGTCAAAGTGCAGAAGAGGGTCAGAAGATCCATTTTCCATTTGTGGTTCTACAGTGTACTTCCTCAGCAGTCTTGAAGGAGAACCCAAATGGGTCCAACCATTTCTGCCCTTAAAGTGACCAGTGGCAAGAGGAAGCTTTGCTCTCCTTTCTTGCCTTTACCCATTTGCAAAGTCTAGGTAATGGCCTGTCTTTAGCAGCAATGGGCTTGGGCAACACAGATATATCTTACAGCCAAAATTCCTGTCCCCTTTTCCATGGTACCCGGGTACCTCACAGCCTGTGATATTGATATGAAGAACACTTCCATGAGGTAGAACACTCTTCTTATCCCTGTCTTGTCCCCCCTCACATCAAGCTGCAGAGGATGGTGCCATTTCCAAAAAGAGTGAGTCCCCTGTGTCCAAGCCACGGCATTTCCTCCCATGAACATGACTGTTTCTCAGAAGCAGGCCAATCTTTGACTTTTCATCCAAAAGTCTCATGCAACCCCCCCCATCAATGCTGCCAACAGCTTTCCTCACTCAGAGACAGACCTTTGGGCTAAGTTGCAAGCACAAACAACTGCTGAAAGCACTTCAGGGGCTTGTTGCAGCCAGCAGAGGATAAACTTCTGGTCCCAGATGAGAAGATCTTTCCACAGGAAGATAAGAAGAGCTCTTCTTTCAAACAGTGTGATAAGATCCTTTGTTAATTTCTGCCTTTCACACTTTAATTTATTCTCTGCCACAATTTTTCCAACAGCTTCTGCTATTAAAGGCATTTGTTGTTTGAAATACAATAACAATCTCAGCCTTACTCTGTGCTATTCCTACAACCTGCACAGAGCTATAGAAAAAAAAAAAATCACATGACTGTGCAATGGAATAAGTATTACCATAGATTTTCTGGCACAAAGGAGAGTTGCCCAACACAAAGTCGAATGAGGCAGATTTGCCACCAATTTCCTTGTAGGGTCACTGCCCAGCAATATATACCGCAGAATGCAGACATGGCAGAGCAAGCAGAATGAAACCAAATAAGCTTGTACCTCCGCAAGACCCACAACTGGCAATCACATGAATCTCAATGCTGTAATGTCATGCTTTTACTCTGGCCATGCTGGGAGCAAGCCAGCCACAAACCACCTCCAGTGGGGAAGATACATAACCACATTCATAGCTGGGTCAAAAATAAAATGCTCAGATATGTGACCGGTGCACCAGGCTGCGTAGATGCACACACTTCTAAGCAGATGTGGTTAGATTCTAGCGTTGGGTGAATCTACTGAAAAAAAGAAAGGGCAAATCTTCGCTCCAAATCCAACTGTATTGTCCCACATCACTTCCTGAGATGTCCACAATTAGAAAAGAAACACCTACATCAAAGTTAGGTATTCTTTCCTCATAACCCTTTCAAGCAAGACATAAGCAAGGAAGATGAGAAACAAAATACTGGGCAATATTTACACAGAAATAATTATCAGCAAGGACAAAAATGTATGCACTGATGATTCACCAGCATACACAAACGACTGGATACCAATCTGAACTCACACTTGAAATGGTATGTGTAGTGCAATTCCTCATGAAGTCATACTGTTAAATACGCTTAGCAAAGCCATGTCTTGTATAGATGTGGTAGAAAGAAACTCTACCCCAGAAGAGACAAAACCTACAGATTCTCAGAGTGGAACTACACACTCCTAAAGAGTGGAAGGATTGTGGTATGCTTGTTTTGTTCTTGCATCCTTTTTCTTAATAACCATTCATGGTCAAAATCAGGGAAAGAATACTGGCCTAAGAGGACTTTTCTCTTTCCCAGACACGTGTCCTTAATACCGACCTTTATGAGTAACCACTTAAGTTCTGTTGCAAACCCATCTAGACCAAGGCTGGAAGAAAATCTATGTCAGTAGGAAAGTTTCTTTGTAGCTATAGCAAAAAAATACATAATCAAATAATGCCTTACCTGTGACGTCAACCTTGAAGGTCAGCTTCTGGCCAGCAGCCTCGCAGGTGTACTCCCCAGCATCTTTCTTCTCCACCTGACCCACCACCAGACGACGCGATTTGCCCTCCGACTCCACCTTGAACTTCTTGCTCGAGGTGATCAGTTTCCCCTCCTTGTACCATTTCACGTCGGTCTTTTCCTGGGCCACCTCGCAGCTCAGGGTGGCGTTTTCTGACAGTGCAGCTTTCACCTCCTTCTGCACCTTCTCTTTGTTGACAAATGCATCTTCTGCCTCTGAAGTGGGGAAACATTTGGGAAAAAATATGTAAGATATAAATAGCTGGCAACTAGAAGATATTACACATATTTTGTGTAGGTGCTCTACAGGATCACTCCTCGTAAATAACATTAATTTGCAGTTATTTTTATCACATAGAACAATGCACCCTCAAAACATAGCCCATATAATTAACATACCTCTCTGACTAAGCTTCACAATCGGCTCAACCACCTCATTTTCAAATTTCTTATAATGAAGGCAAAGATAAATTTCCCCCTTTGCATTTTTATGATATTTCTACACACCACATTATGGAACTAGCCAAATATATGTCGTGGTTTAACTCCAGCTGGCAACTAAGCCCCACGCAGCCGCTCACTCACTCCCTCCCGGTGCAACGGCAGAGAGAATCAGAAGGGTAAAAGTAAGAAAACTCGTGGGTTGAGATAAAGACGGTTTAACAGGGAAAGCAAAAGCCGCGCACACAAGCAAAGCAGAACAAGGAATCCATTCCCCACTCCCCACGGGCAGGCGGGGGTTCAGCCATCTCCAGGAGAGCAGGGCTCCGTCACACATAATGATTTCCCTGGGAAGACAAACACCATCACTCTGAATGTCCCCCCCATCCCCTCCTTCTTCCCCAGCTTTATACACTGAGCATGACGTTGTACGGTATGGAACATCCCTTTGGTCAGTCGGGGTCAGCTGTCCCGGCTGTGTCCCCTCCCCGCTTCCCATGTACCCCCAGCCTGCTCGCTGGTGGGGTGGTGTGAGGAGCAGAAAAGGCCTTGACTGTGTGTCAGCGCTGCTCAGCAATAACAAAAACATCCCTGTTTTCAGCACAAATCCAAACCACAGCCCCGTATTAGCACTGTGAAGAAAATTAACTCTATCCCGGCCAAAACCAGCACAACATAGCACAATTATCAGTTGCCACCTTTCCTATCACATTGTTTAGAGGAATTTACCAACATCTCGGTATTTTAGATTAAGATTGGGTGTTGTTCAGAAAATACCTTGTAACTCAGTGCCAAAGAAATTACAAAGATACAGTTCTTAATATGGAGAAGTACTTGACCTACATTATACATAAAACTGGCCTATAAAATTTGAAGTATACTTTTCTTTCCTTGGAAATATCTAATTTTTCAGATTTTCCCAACTTGCGATAGAGAATCTTCTCATAATACTTAACACAAGCAACAAGAATGAACTGTTTAAAGTCACTTTCTTACACAGTACCACTTCGAACTTCCATCTCAACAAGTGGAGTTGGCATCAAAAGGATATCTTGTGTATTTAGTAGCTAGTTAGGTACATGCATTGAAAAGATTCACTTGTCACCTTGCTAAGTAGGACTGACTGATAAATTACATCTTTTACTGATTACTTTTACTTTTATAGTTATGATCGTTTTACCTGGCTCTCCTTTTACCAACAACTGGTGTGGTCACTGTTAGCTTTTATATTCGCATACATTTAAGATGTGGGAGGACAAATACACTGTAAATAAATGGGCTCCAAATGTTTGTCCACTGATTTACCTCAAGAAATTACTGCAGAAGAAGTGAAACTACTTCTGGTATGCCTATATGATGGACATCACATGGCAACAACCGCCCCGCGTTTAGCGTAGGCTGCCTTTGCCTGTTTGGGTCCCGGGTATGTACTTGAGCATTGAAGTCCATGATTTCACTGCTAGAAGCACAGGCTCCAAAGATAAACGCTGGACTAGCAAGTGTGTAGGGTTGCCATTGCCCTTCAGTTGCAGTGCAAGCACGGAAGAGACTTCAGCCAGCCAGCTTTGGGCAAGCAGGGTACCTGGCTAGGTTGACCTAGGAGGCTCTTGGCTCTACTTGGCAGTCTTGAACCCTTCCATAACCTGTGATACTGCTTGCTTCCCCCCAGTCACTCTCGGCAGCCTCCTACAGCCATCGTTTCTCCTCCTTGATGACGTTCTGCTCTGCGTACCGCCTCTGTCATGCCTGTACCCTGAGAGGCAGCAGCTGCCTGGGAGGGTAAGGAATAGGAGTGAGCTCGGGTCACGTTCCTACGCTGCTGACTGTGGCACTACCTGCAGTCCTGGGATCCACACCATAGAGCTGCCACCAATATTGCACAGTCCATGGAAAGAGAGGGGTCCTGCAGGGAGCAAGCCAAAGCAGGAACTTGGCTTATATGCTTAAATTTGAGCTCCTCTGCTTATGTTGGCTGTAGAAGTGGTGTAAGGAGATCACAAGGCTTGTTCATTAACAAGGCCAAGTACACGGCCTGTGCTGGGTGATGCAAAGCTCCTGAAAGGCACATGTCAGCCCACTCGCAGATCAGGCAGCATTTTGACACCTAAAAGCGCTCGAGCACACACCATGGTTTGCATTCAAAACTGCTTGCAAAAATATAAACATTTCAGCTTCCATCTACAACTTGGACCGTGAATATGCGGGGTGCGCTAAGCAAATGCATTACCGACCAGGCTGTGTAAGTGGGTGCTGTGTTTTAAATGACAAGTTAGCAGGGCAGGAATATTCCAGATGGAATATCCACTTGTCCTCTGCATTTTTATAAAATGTAAACCCTTTAATATAAGCCATTTTTATAGCGATGGGAAATGTGACTAAAGCTTTTTATCAGCTTATGAAGTGATTTACACTGGCCAGCAATTTGCCTTAGAAACTTATTTTAAAGTTAAACAAGTGTTCAGTGCAGATGACACTTCCAACCTCAGCTGAAACTGGTTAGTGAAGTTTCACTGAAACTGAGGAAAACCATTTTCAGGACATGGAGCTTTCACCAACTTCAGTTAAGGATTTCACTGCATACCATGAATCTTGAAGTAATGAGATATCAGAATCAGTTTTTTTGGCTACACGTCTAGCCCAGTCCCGAGGTGTGCAGCACCTGCTTCTGTTTCTATTAAGCCAAAAAGCTGTAGCTACATCCCAATACTCAACACTGAGCATCTAACCTTCAAGCTGTCCTTAAACAAGGAAGGTTTTGTGCTACCGCTGGAGCCCTGGAGTACAGGAACCCTGAAAAGCTTTCTGAGTGCAGTGGTAACAGGATAAATTAAGACCCAGAAAGCCACTGCACTTTGGGATAATCTCGTAAGATGAGGATTTCTGCAGCAGAAGAGCCAACCACTCAGAGTACTCATAATCCCTCCTGACTTTCACACTAGATCGTTTTGCAGCGAGTGCTGGACTTGCATGTCACGTTACAGCTGTACACATGAGAAATACAGCAACGGTAGCTAGGCAAGCACTCTCCACTTACGACAGAGGGGAAAGGTGTTACATGACCCTGTGCAGCCGTGAAGTCATCCAGTTTGAAAGAGAACCGAAAACCTTTGGTTTCTGAGGCAGACAGCTAAGAATAGCCCTTTCAGCCAGGGAAATTAAAGTGTAAAAGCACTGAATTTCTGTGTTTTCTGACTACACCCCTGCAGCAATGTACGAGCTGGTTTCAGCAGCTGAGCATGAACTTGGTTTTTACCAATGTTTTTTCTACCAATATCCATGTTGCATTTTCCCTGAAAGATGCCTCTCAAGTCTAGCCTTACTGTAATCCATCCTCCACTGAAGCTGGCCGTTCCCTGGGCCAAAAGCAAGAGCTACACCATCCAAAAAAGAGCCAAAGTGCCCCAACTCACACCCTGTGTAGCCCACGCAGCGTGCGGATGCGTAACAGCTGACGGCTTACAACATACGCCACGGGCAGCAGCAAGGCTTCATGCTACAGCAGCAGTTGCACCTTGCACATAGAAGACGGAGGGAGCGGGATGCCCCAAGACAGTGGGGGAGCAGTAAAGACTGCAACCGTGGCAGGGGAACAGCACGCAAGCTACGCCCTGCAAGGACTTCAGGTCTCCAGCAAGGCTGCGAGAAGGAAAGTCAATAGACTCCCGGTGCAGTTGCTCTTCTACATAGCTGATAAAATGCCAGACCTCTGCCAGCAGTATGGTCCCAGCGTGCTTAATGCCATAAGAAAGCAGAGTAAAAAATAGATTCCCTGTTCTGATCAGCTCAGAATATGAGACAAGAAGTGTAATGTTAACAGAGGGGCATTCGGCTACAAAGACAGCAGAGTGTTATGGATATGAACAAAACAAAGCCAAACTCCTTCTTATCATCCAATTCAGTAACGATCACTCAGAATGCAACCAACATGTTCATGGCCACCTGAAACATGAGATAAAATTTACTGGACCTCTTGGAAAATATACTGAGACCAAAGAAAACAGTAAAGTAGTCAGAGTGAAAGAACAGCCTCAGTATTAAATCCTTAGACTCCAAATCATGTTCTTAAGGAGAAAAATGTAGATACAAATAAATATTCCTGCACTCAGGACTGGTGATTACAGATGTAGAAATGTCAATGAACCGTCACCACCTTTGGATTCAGCAGATCGCAGATGTGTGCAGTGCAATTGATACAACATTTTTAGGACAATACGCTACCATCAACTCCCAAACATTCTCAATGCAGCCACAATAAAGTAGGGATCTTGTAAATGCTACTGTCTAAATATCGCTTGGAAGACAAGTATTTGCACCACTTCTTAGAGCTTTACAAAGCACAATTGGGTATCCAATAACAGATGAAAGAAGTGGTGGAGGAAGAGCCAGATGAAAGGTTGTTAAATACAAACGGTAATTCGAGTTGCACATACCTGTATCCATTTCTGTATCCATGAAACAAAAGTTTCATGGTGCATGGATTTACGAGGCTGTGCTCACATATGTCTTTGCACAGCCAGACTGAAATAATTGAAGCAATTCTCTGTTTTGGGAGGGAGGACATTGTGTAGAGAAAAGATGAAACAAAGAGGGAAGAAAAAAGTGACTTTCAAGGAAGAACAACAATAACAAGAGGAGGAATACCAATACTGATCAAATTGGAGGAGGTCCTTTAGCACAGTGCCTGCTAACGAAAACTCTTCATTCACTATCTGAGCCTTAGGAGATGTACAGGGAGCTGAGGAGCTGCTGTTAGGATACCTACGCGTAACCAGTAGATGTTCCCAGCCGCACACAACCGCACTGAAACAGTAGCTTACACCAACATCAGGAAGTTGAAAGCATTTCTAGTGTTTTGACAGAGAAAAAAGGAGAAAACACCAAGACACAAAGAAAAGGCAATGAAACATAAAAAAAAATGTCTCCCACCTGTGACGACAATCTTGAAGGTCAGCTTCTGGCCAGCAGCCTCGCAGGTGTACTCCCCAGCATCTTTCTTCTCCACCTGACCCACCACCAGACGACGCGATTTGCCCTCCGACTCCACCTTGAACTTCTTGCTCGAGGTGATCAGTTTCCCCTCCTTGTACCATTTCACGTCGGTCTTCTCCTGGGCCACCTCGCAGCTCAGGGTGGCATTTTCTGACAGTGCAGCTTTCACCTCTTTCTTCACCTTCTCTTTGTTGACAAATGCATCCTCTGCTTCTGTGGGGTGGGAGAAGCAATTTAAAAACCACAGGTATGTTCATGCTGCCCAGAGTGTTCAAACCCAAATGAATAGTCCTCTTTATGACAACTTCCACAGCTCTGTCATTTTAGAATGGTCCCACCCACAGCTAAGATACACTCAGATGGCACACGGCCCTCTGTACAGCCTGAGGACAACACATCAGCCATTTTTGAGAAAAATGATCCAGTACCTCAGGAGTTAAGGTTCTTCCTTTCTGCACAAGAAATCTGACTCTTTATTCCTTAATGTAATGCACAAATAATCTCCCAGTCTCATCCACCACGGGGACTCCAGTGTAAACCTTGCCCACTCGAGGTACTTCTTGAGCAGACCTTTTTTCCTACGCATCTGGGTGATGACCCTACCCGTATACCTATCAATCACCACAGCATATGTAATCTTGTTTGATTATTCTTTACTCTGAAATCAGAAAACAACAAGGACTGCTGAGAGGGATTCCTCTCACAGATGACGACAACTAGCTGTAGGCATCTGTGTGGCAGTGGGTGCACGCAAGCTGGTTGTCTGATCTCCCTCCCTACTCAATGAAGACGTAGGCTACACAGATCCTGGAGCCTGCACAGTGATTCATTTTGCCCTGTAGTAGAGGGAACTCATGGACCACTTTGTGACGAGAACCAACATATCTCCCACCTGTGACGACAACCTTGAAGGTCAGCTTCTGGCCAGCAGCCTCGCAGGTGTACTCCCCAGCATCTTTCTTCTCCACCTGACCCACCACCAGACGACGCGATTTGCCCTCCGACTCCACCTTGAACTTCTTGCTCGAGGTGATCAGTTTCCCCTCCTTGTACCATTTCACGTCGGTCTTCTCCTGGGCCACCTCGCAGCTCAGGGTGGCGTTTTGTGTCAGTACAGCCTTCACCTCCTTTTGTACCTTGTCCTTGTTTGTAAACACGTCTTCTATCTCTGTAAGAAAGCCACAGTAGTCACACATAGCTTTTTGCAGTTGTTTTCTCCAGTGATTAATCAAGTTCCCCCTATTTCACTATGCTTACCCCGACAGGTAGTATCACAATGGCCCATGAAGACCAGAAAGCACCTTCATTTCTATTTTGCTGAGAGGAGGTTAATAGGTGTATGGGAATTGTGGGATAAAGTTACAAACCTCTCAATCTGAGCACAAATTTGAACCTGGGACTTAGAACACCAACATGCACTGCCTGAACCCTCCTCCCTCTTCTCTTTCTGTTGCTATGCCTCTCCACACTTTCAGTGAATCAGAAGAGAACAGCCCTTGTATCCTCATACCCAGCAACCATTGCTCTTCTTCTGCCTATTTAGGTCACTCAAATTCAGTCATTCTCCATCTAATTAGATCCCTTCAAACACCTCGCCCTTCCCTTTTATCTACCTCGCACCTCTGCTATGGTTTCACGCTATGATTCTGCAGGAGTTTTTCTGCAGACACACCAGCTAATTGTGTGAGGTGCAGAAGTTATCAACCTTGCCATCATTTTTTTGTGGTTACAACTAGTCATGGATGCAAAAGTGTGTGTAGTGTGTGTATAAAATGTTGATATGACAGTTGGCTGAAAATCAAGTCCTACGGCTGAAATATTTCACCCCAGAGAGGTAGTGTGATGATACTCTGAATGGAATATTCCTTCATCTTTGCTATTTATAGCATTTTCTCACCTCTGACTTTGACTTGGAATGTTGTTCTGTCATCCTTTGTTTCACAGGTGTAGCTCCCTTGGTCTTGCTGTGTCACCTTCTTGATGATGAGCTTGCGGTGTGTCCCCTGGGAGACGACTGTTGTCCTCTGGTCCTGCTTCACCTCGGTTTGATCCTTCTTCCATATCACGGCTCCACTCGCAGCTGACACCTCACACACCAGCTCAAGGTTTTCAGAAGGACTAACTGATATTTCTGGAGTTGTTTTGGGCTTGTTGACAAAATTAACAGCTTCATCTGGAAAGCAAAAGAGAAAGCAGTTTATGCCTTGGTTCAGGTTTGTCAGCACAAAGTTAAGATACGGTAATTACTGATCATTTTTTCCTTGCTAGTCACACTTGGGTGATCAAGTTTCACCTCTGGAGGTGTAAATGTACATTTATGTGCATGGTTCCGTTGCAATGTAACTATGACAAAGTGTTAACAGTTATGGCAATAAACTGTGGTTATGAGTCAGAAAAGGCCCTCCTGAGATACAGCAGCGTTATATCTACCAGGGAACACATTGTCCAAGTTTTAAAGCATCCAGAGAGTTGCTACATAACGGTCTCCAGTTTGGGAGCTGGGTATTGATGAATCCTTTATACTGTATCAGCCTGTTAGGTCCACACTGTGGTATTAATACTAGACTTGTTAAGTTCTAGACAGACATGGATCTATGCCTACCCAGATTCATAACCAAAATCCACCTGACTGATGTGCATCCATTCTCTGCCTTCCTTTCAGAAGTGAGGCATGCAAGCTGCTACAGAGCACAGACGCCGTGGTTTCGATTACCAGAGTTGTATGTGCACAGAGCCATGAGCGGAACCTGCCCCAACATCACGAGACCATAAAGCCTGACGTGTGCTTTAATTCACAGCTCCTGTCTCATCACGCACATGAACGTTGATGACCAACTTTCTGATAGATGTCACAAACTCCTTCTCTGAACTTCAGATAATTGCTCTGTTACAGTGCAATCACATTCACCTCTCCTACATCCTTCCGGATCTTTTAAATCAAGCTGAGATGCCATCAAGTTGCTGACACTTTAATCACCGCTCCTTGTTTCTGATTTCAAGCAAGCTCTAGGGAATATGTATTGATGCCTGAGTCTACAAAGAGCTTTGAAAAGATCCAAGAACACTCATAAAATCTTGTTACAAGCGATGAGGAGCCTTCTTTTACATGTTTCTAAGCCCATTCCTGCAGCCCCATGTTCACATGATGATCAGTCCCACTGGACCAATTCTTCTCCAGACCAGATATGGAGATATATGGGATTTGATAAGATTGATTAGTCATCTCATTGGTTATCTCATTGATAAGATATTCTCCAACTTCAAGAGGACTACGTTAATATGAACCAATAATGTCACATCTTTCTGCTGAAACTGATCTTCACAGTAGAGAACTCACAATGGCTCAAAACTCATATAGCTCACGAGGCAGACTCCTGCTTTGACACCTCAGCGCAGACTCTGCTGACTGCACAGACTGGTGGCCACACGTATGAGCTGTGCATGCACACACTCCCCGCAACGTGTGTCATGTACGCAGCAACAATACGGCAGTTTTATCAAGTCGGGTTTTTTGCAAGTGTATTTGTGAAGGTGAAAGCGAAGGCAACAAAGTAAGTGGAGACCTTGTGTGTAAAATGTGAGCAAACCTATCCAACACACCCCGTCCCTAAGCTAACAAGCAATATTTGATGACCATGTCAGGTATTTCATACCCTTCATTCCATCAAGCCAGCCCTTGCCTGAAGCGCAAGCCGATGGCTGACAGTTATAACCAACCTTAGCTTAGTATTGCATTTCTTCTAGCAGCAACTGTTGCTTTCAGTCACTGAGTTTCCCAAGGACAATTGCTATGCTACACCCATGCTGGACACGTCTGTGGCATCAGAGAACAAATATTTCATTAAAAATTGTAATCATTAGGACTGATCTATTTTTTAAAAATTAGATGAGCAAGGAACTCCAGAGTCCTGAAGTTCAAGATTAATGGGGTAAAGCATTATCATGAAGACAGATTACTTCCCCGCCCTAAGACCATCCCCTGACGGTGCAGTGCTACTTCTTAGCACTCTGGAAACTTTTTATGGTGACATGTGAAACAAGGTAGAAGTTGGCCTGGCTAAGGTTTTGTTAACAGGATGTAACTCAGTCCTTGTTTATCAGAAAGATCATGGGGATACACAGTTACTTAGCAGAATCCAGCTTTCTCTGCCTGAGCCATGTGACATTTTGTCATAGGAGTTACACCACACCTACACAATGGTCATCAAAAGGTTAGGTATCCGGTCTCAGGTAATCTTGCAGGCTTCCTCTATACTTGATGTTCAAAGACAGCTCCAGACAACTTTTTAAATCTGTCTTAGATAGCTCTCATCAGACAGTATAAATCGTATGGTACAAATTGCTCTTTGGGAGTCAGTTCAGACAGAGCCCAGCTGACTCTTTTAGATCATTTTTTCAATGTGTAAAGTCAAGGACTATGAATTACACTCAAAGTGAAATTGCTCAATGTCGGATTCTCAACCAGAGAGAAGAAGGACGCAGCATGCATATCTGAGCCAACACTAGTTGTAAACTGGAAGTAATCTCTCTAGCTCAGTAAACCCTGTAGCAATCCCTCAAGTCCGGTGCTGTGCTAGGTCAATCAGCTCTGCTGATTTTAGTTACCTGATGGGCAGCATCACAGTAACATGGATGTACTGTTACAGGTGACAAGCTGCAGTTGCTACTTCTCTTAAGCTGCATTGTTCTGCAGCACATAGACACGCCATGAGAAGTTTTCAGTAGAGTTTCAATTTGTAATTTAGGACTGGTTTAAAAAATAAACTCAAGATATAAACCAGAAAACCACTTTTAGAAGAAAAGTTCCCACCAGACTATGCAAATTGGATCAGTTGAATTTCACAGATACTGAATTTCACAGGTAAATTCTTGTGTCATTTTATACTCTGGCTCCATCCCAGACTGGAATGCATCAGTGACAAGCATTTCCCTTCTGGGCTTGACTTGAGACCCACATGCTTTAGCACGTGCTTTAAGGTGATGGGCATGTGCCATGAACTAATGGCTTCACTTACAGAACTGCGGGGAGATGTCTCGGAGATCACAGTGTCCTTTGGGAACAGCAGGAGACGCTTAACTCTCAAAATCATGAGTTAAACTTGTCAGAGAAGGACACAGGGCTTTCACAGTAAGACTCTAGGACCACCTCAGCCAGGAGGTTCAAAAACGATGTATGTGCTGAGGCAATCCCTGAGCTAAAAGAACAAAGGCCAGATGTGGCTCTCAGCCGGTTCAACCAGTGTGGTGCTTGAGTCATGACTCCAACTCTAGTAAAGCTTGTGCTGGCTTGAATACATAACAGTAGCACCATATTATTTGCCCATTTTGTGGATTTGCGTACAGGTCAGAGTCTCTGAAATAGTGCAGTGCAATTTTGGCCCAAAAACCTGGGCAATTTACAAGGTAAGACAAGTAAAATGAATAAAGTCCTGAGTGTCTAACACAGACCCTGATCCCATACTTGCATCACAAACTTACCTGAGACTTTTAAATCAAAAATAAGAGTGTCATCTCCAGTTTTGCATGTGTATGTTCCTTCATCTTCTTTTGTCACCGCTGAAATCACAAGCTTATGCAGTTTTCCTTTATCTTCCATTGTGAATTTCTTGCTGGCTGTGATTTCTTTGCCATCTTTGTACCATTTAACCATGATGTTGGCCTCAGAGGTCTCAGAAAAAAATTCAGCCTGTTTTCCAGCAATGGCCCTGATAACTCCTCCACTTTTCTCTTTGTTTATGAAGTTTGCAAGTGCTGAAACAAAAATATAGATACACAGCACTGGTAAAGAATTGTGTGGACATCAGTAAATATGTACGCTTACATCTACATTTATCATAAGACCAAATATGTATGTTTAATTATGGATCTAATTACTAGATTCTAATGCAGAAGCAGCCAAATTTCCAACCTTTATAAACCATATACCTTATTATCACATGTCCAAAAACCAGAGCACATATACAACACAGGAGGCTGAGTCAAGGGGAGAGGAAGCCCTAGGCAATATGGATTTAAGAAAATATCTGGCATACGTGAGGAAAGAAATGAAGTGAACAAACTGGAGGGAAAGCAATGAAGGTTATTTAATCATTGTATTGTAACCACGTGGCAAATAAATCGACTCTAAAAGAGGTTAAAATGTAATCTAGATAAATTAAATTGTATTCAATTAAAAATCTATACAGATATCACGTAGGACTGAAATGAAAAGAAATTTCTTCCTGGAAACCATAATAACATGTAGTAGAATAATTGAGTCATCAATTGCCTCAAAGCGAAGATTCAAAAACCCACCAATATCCTAGCTAAAAATGTGAGCCTAAAACCACAGTCCCATCTTAATTTAGATAATGGAATTAATCATCAAACATCCTCTTAACATATTATTTTAAAACAACACATGCAACAAGTCACTTTGTTGGTACTGTGCAGTCAAAGGTACTAAAATCAAAGCCTTGATTATGTATGCATCTTTTCCTTAATTTCGAGAAAATGATTGCACAATACAAATTAACAACTCTCTGCAGAATGCCCGGCAAAAGCAGTTATTAGCTTTCACAGCTGATACTGTAACAAGCAGTTATGGTCCATGGTCTGGACCAGCTAAGTGTGACTCTCTCAGGCTTTTGCGCCAAAGGTATTACTATCAGTGCTACGTCCATGGGGGTTCTCCTTTAGCTCAAAGACCCTACCCACGAGGATGGATTTTGCATTTAGTTTCCTTGCTTTTAAGTACATCAGATTTCTCCAGGTCTGTAGTAGTGCTTTTAATTACAGACAAACAGGGGGTTGGACTAGATGACCTTAAAAGGTCCCTTCCAACCCAAGGATTCTATGATTATATGATTTGGTAGGGAACCAATTTTCACTGGCTTGTACAGAGGCAGAGTCTGGAGACCTAAAGAAAAATGAACAGTGAATTGACTTCACAGAATCACAGAATCACTAAGGTTGGAAAGGACATTCAAGATCATCAAGTCCAACCATCAACCCAATACCACCATGTCCTCTAAACCAGGTCCTGAAGTACCATGTCCACACATTTTTTGAACACCTCCAGTGATGGTGACTCCCCCACCTCCCTGGGCAGCCTGTTCCAATGCCTGACCACTCTCTCCATAAAGAAATTTTTCCTAATTTCCAATCTAAACCTCCCCTGGTGCAACTTGAGGCCATTTCCTCTCATCCTGTCGCTGGTTACTTGGGAGAAGACCCGTTCAGGGAGTTGCAGAGAGTGATGAGGGCTCCCCTCAGCCTCCTCTTCTCCAGACTGAACACCCCCAGTTCCCTCAGCCGCTCCTCATCAGACTTGTGCTCCAGACCCCTCACCAGCTCCGTTGCCCTTCTCTGGACACGCCTCAGCACCTCAACGTCCTTCTTGTAGTGAGGGGCCCAACACTGAACACAGGATTCGAGGTGTGGCCTCACCAGTGCCGAGTACATGGGGACAATCCCTGCCCTGCTCCTGCTGGCCACACCATTGCTGGTACAGGCCAGGACGCTGTTGGCCTTCTTGGCCACCTGGGCACACTGCCGGCTCATGTTCAGCTGGCTGTCAACCAGCACCCTCAGGTCCCTTTCTGCCAGGCAGCTCTCCAGCCAAGAGTAAACACAGGTAAGAAAGAAAAAGAAACCCCCAGTCCCAAACCTCCCCGTCTAAGACTAAGAAATACCCAACGAGCAAATAAATAGGGAAAGGGAAGGATGTGGCAGTGCAGCCAAGGACCTCTCCAGTTCTTGGTCCTCAAGGGACTCCATTCAATCACCAGCCTCTGGCAGGGACGGGAGCTTGCATTTGACCTCTCCAGGTCCCTACCAGCTCTGTTTTGTGGGGCTCACTAAGTCTGCTTATTAGAAGCAATATCTATGGGTAAAGAAGTCATACGAGAAACATTTAAACCAGGGAAAACCTCCTTTTTTACTGCTTTTTCTTGGGTCCTCGTTTCCATTTGTTTCTCTAATGAGTCATAACAGTGGAGCTTTCCCTCCAGTGGGACAACACCACAGTCCTCCTCTACCCAGTCCCCTATGCTCATGACACCTGCAGGGGCCAAACTCTGTTGAGACCTTCTCCACCAGCATTACTGGAACTCAGCCCACAGGTTAAAGTTTTGGGAGGAAGAAGAGGGAGATGGGTTCATTCATGCACCTTTCACTTCCACAGAAAACTAGAGTGAAAATACAACGACGGCGGTCTGAAGGAGACTTCTCAGATGTCGCATTTCAACGCAGGAGGTCATGTGTCAGAGGACGCCTGGCACGTGAAGTCTCATGGCAGTGGAGGGACAGCCGTGATAAATGGTAAGTGCATTTTCTAGTGGGGCTCTTTTGGGCAGGAGGCCCAGCGAGTGACACACCTCTGGCCACGGCTCAGCACGGCGGCTTCTCGGCAGCCACGTCATGCCCACGTGCCAGACACAAGCTGACCTGCGCATCAGATGGTTCCCCAGCTAGCTGTGTCCCATTTACAGGAGGAACAGATGGAAGGCGGTGATGCTGAAAGGTAAAACACTGCGACAGTGTTCTCAAGCCTCAAGGATGAGAGGTATCAAAGCTGGTTCTCCAGGAATCAAGCTACCAACAGCAGACGCTTAAGTTATAGCTTGCCAACAGAGATTTTAAAATAATAACATTGATTACTCGTTTGACAGTCACATTACGGTGAACAGCACATCAGCTAATTCAATTAAATCTGTGGGTAGACCTGCCAGCATGGAAAATGACACTGAAGAGGCAGAAAGAGAGAGAAGAAAAACAAAATTAAGAGCAGCTGCCAAGAGCAGACAGCAATTCCTCCCTTCATAAATTTAGTCACATTTTTTAATTCTTTTTTTCCAGTTCTTTTGAGTCTGCTCTTTGAGAATAACCAAGCAAGTAAGATGTCAAATGCAAAACACACACATTACTCTGGGGCTTTGCTGTTTCTACAGAGAAACAAGAGAGAGAGAGAGGCCAAGAAGAGGGTGAGAAGTCAGCAGAACATCATGGTGAAGCACCTCATACTTACTTAGTGTAGAAACAGTGCAATCATGGCTGGGAAGAGGTGAGGGGTGAATTACAGGACAGAACATGGAAATCAAATAGCTTTACAAAACGAACTTGCTAGTTCAAAGCAAAATAGCTACTGGTCTCACCCCAGACAATGCCTGACAACAACGTCAGGCTACACTGTCCTGGAGTCACTTTGTACACTCTGAACCTCAGCAGACATCTAGGTGATACCCATGAGGAACAGTCTGCAGATACACTGGGACTTTTCAGCCAAAACCTGCTCCCATTCAAGGCAGAGGAAACTCTCCTATAAACTAGTTCATGAAAGCTTCCACAGATGGGAAGGCTTGCAAGAGGAAGGCTTAATGCTGTTGTTTTCAGGGTAAAGGTTCAAGACTCCATGTCTTGCTCTGGGAGAGGATGTGCCCACCAGCTACGTAGCAGTCAATCAGGAAGGAAGGGACTGCCACAAAAGCAAGAACAGCCGAAAAATGGGGCGGCTGTAAAACAGTACTGGTTCAAATCCAACAAGCAAGAAACATTAAAAGAAAATTACATTTTGCTGTTTGTTCTATGCAGCCTTCCATCTGAACACCTTGCAAATAGCAATGAGTCAAGCCATCCAATGTGCCCTGGAAAGGTCTGTTCTTATTCACCATTTGACAGAAAACAAAAAAACCCCAAGCAAATAATCAAAAAATCCCACAACGCCAAGGCAGTCTTGGTCCATCAGAACTTTAGTCAGAGCTAAACTATCTCTTCAGTGACTTGCCCGATATCCCATAGCGAGTATAGGGCAGACATGGGGTCATGTGCGTCATGTCCTGCGAATTCCCCTGTGGCTGAATTTCTTCATCACAAGAGCACCTTTTCACTGCCCACCACCCGATCTCATGAAATAACAACATGTCAGTTTGAGTGAAAGCACAGCTCTGACCACTGAGATGGTGTTAGATCCCAGATTTACTCCCGAGTTCTACTCTGGGACTACAGACACTGTCAACGCTAGATGTTGATGGGGAGTTACCGCAACTCCTTGCGCTGCCTCTGGAGCACTCCCTTTCTGTCCCTTGATGACTCTATTGGCTTAGGGCAGGACCGGGCCATTAATACAAAGCAGCCCAGGCAGTCACATACCTTTCACTGAAAGCTGATAGAGCATTTTATCCCCTTCGCAGACGCACTCATAAACTCCAGCATCCTCTGCTGCAGTGTTGCAAATTTTCAGGATGTGCCTCTTCCCCACAGTTTGAAGTTCATATTTTTCACTGGCCTTGAGCTCTTTCCCATCCTTTATCCACTTCACAATGGCCTCTGTGTCGGAAAGCTCAGCCTGAAGTTTGGCTTCCTCCCGCAGCCGAGCAGAGACTTTTTCTATATCTCTGCTCTTGTTGGTAAATCTCACTGCAGCACCTGTCAGGAAAAAGGCTTTGTTATTTCAAGTTATATCGAGATACCAAGTTCCCAATACGAGTCTGCTCTAGAGTGTGAGATCTCTGAAAAAGTATTAGGCCTTGTTCTTGCCCTCACACTCATGTCTAGGAGACTTGATCTCATTTTATTGCCTGAGTCACTAAGAAAAAAAAAAAGCACATCTTTCTACTGATTAATAACACTAAACACGCTTCTGCAGAGATTTCACAGAATCACAGAATCATGAAGGTTGGAAAACACCTTTAAGATCATCACGTCCAACCATCAACCCACCACCTTGGGTTTCGCCCACTAAACCATATCCTGGAGTGCCACGTCTACATGTTTTTTGAACAGTTCCAGTGATGGTGACTCCACCACTTCCCTGGGCAGCCTGTGCCAATGCTTGACCACTCTCTCTGTGAAGAAGTTTTTCCTAACACCCAATCTAAACTTCCCCCGGTGCAACTTGAGGCTGTTTCCTCTCGTCCTGTTGCTGGTTACTTGGGAGAAGAGACCAATCCCCACCTCACTACAACCTCCTTTCAGGTAGTTGTAGAGAGCGATGAGGGCTCCCCTCAGCCTCCTCTTCTCCAGACTGAACACCCCCAGTTCCCTCAGCCGCTCCTCATCAGACTTGTGCTCCAGACCCCTCACCAGCTTCGTCACCCTTCTCTGGACATGCTCCAGCACCTCAACGTTCTTCTTGTAGTGAGGGGCCCAACACTGAACATAGGATTCAAGCTGTGGCCTCACCAGTGCCAAGTACATGGGGACAATCACTTCCCTACTCCTGCTGGTCACACTAGTGCTGATACAGGCCAGGATGCTGTTGACCTTCTTGGCCACCTGGGCACACTGCTGGCTCATGTTCAGCCGGCTGTCAACCAGCACCCCCAGGTCCTTTTCCGCCGGGCAGCTCTCCAGCCACTCCTCCCCAAGCCTGTAGCGTTGCGTGGGGTTGTTGTGACCCAAGTGCAGGAACCAGCACTTGGCCTTTTTAAACCTCATACGGTTATTTACACCAAAAGTCTAACACATCCTTCCAGAATGAATGTCTGTTCATTACCTTTTGCCATGCAGTGTGGGTAGATACAGATGTTATTGTCATTTCATAACGGAGAGCTGGAGCACCCAACTCTCAATGCTAAATCGAGTTACATGATACTAACTTGTACATCACACAAATTTGTGGTAGACTAAAATTCCCCCAGGAAAAAAATTTGTTAGTAATAAATGACCCTTTACTCTTGAAAGAATCTGCTAAAGCCAGAAAGACTAGCCAAACCTGGAGCTGAAATTACTGGCTTAAGGTGACTCAGTGGTAGATCTGGTGACAGAATCCACTGACTGATGGTTGTGAACTACAGAAATTCATGAGCTGATGTTAAGCAGTGTAGTTCAGATACCAACCAGCTGGCTAGATACCAACCACTCTGAACTCTGTGCTGTCATGGTGAGGTCATTACCAGGACCCACATTAGTTCGTGTGATGTAATTTCAGGTACTTCCTACAGACCAGGCATCAGTGCAAGTCTCCAGTCCCACTTCTAATCATCAGGTCACAGAAACTTCCCCTTGACTGGAAGCAGAAAGAACAGTGATGAAAATAAATACCTTTCACTCTCATCTTGGTGCTGGTGTCAACATTATTGGCAACAAATTTCACTTCTGCTCCATCATCATTCTTCGTGACATTCTTTATGATTAGGGTGTGAGTAGTTTGGGTTCTCTTAATGATGTAGGTCTCACTTTCCTGTAAGATTTTACCATTAAGGTACCAAGTGCCAGAACATGTCGTTGTAAGGTCAACAGTAAACAGGGCATCCCCTCCAGGTACAGTTTCAGCAGTTGTCAGAGGGGTTTTCACAGCCAGGACTGGTTCTAGGGATGAAGAACAACACACCTCTGAGACCAAAGGACACAAGACTGCCACATTGGAGTATAGTTCTTCCTAAGAACAAAGTTCTTGGGGTAAATAAGATATGAGAGTAAAATCCTGCAGCCTTATACAATTGCAGGCACTGAAGGCAATGCACAGTTGGTCACCAGGATTTGACTTCTACAGCTGCAGGTAACCAACCTCTGGTATTACACAGCTAAGTCCTGTTTCTGCAGTGAAAGAACAACAGGCATATTTTACTGACTTTTTTCACTAAGATGCTTAAAGGCATAACAAGCCTGAAACACCGAGGTTCCCCAACAAGTGTGCTATTTATTTAATAACCAGTATTATTCTTAGATTTCAGAAGAATCCTAAGGAGGCCACCGGGCCTACTAAGTCACTTCTAGATATTCTAGGAAAACACCGGCATGTTCAGACAGCAAGGGAAAAGGACGACACAATAACAAGACACAGTACTGTCAAAGTCTGTTGCAGATATTGTCCAGTGCAACGAATGAAAGAAAGAAGCAATCCCATTGCACACAATGATTATGTGGGCACATTGGCACACTAGAAATGAAGTAAACCCCCCATATTTCTTCTAGTAACTCTAAGAATAAAGAGAGACTGACTGGCACTTGGTTTTCATGACAGTATCATCACCCATAAATATTCTCTAGGTGCAAGTGTGATATTTTATTTATATACTGAGAATTGTATTATAAGCCCACCTCAATTTTTCCTTTCATACCAGGTCTAGAAGAAGTGCTTACAGGCTTGAGGTTCATGGCAGAGAGCTCTGCCTCTCACACAGCCTGTTGTGAGGTATTGGAACATAAGCATACTAACAGCTCTATCACAGAAACCCAACCACCGTCACTTTGGTGATGCTCAGTGGTTGAAATCAGGTAGGTGAACTAACAGTGAAGGGAAAAAGGTTTTGCTGTTTGCTCTATGCTCCTCAAAGTCATGGGAAACCTCTTTAGAGCACCCACGTGGCAGAGCAGCACAGACTGACCCATTTTATGATGGTTTTGTGCTCACCAAGGTGCAAGCTCCCTGGGAACTCCAGGTAGGGGCTCTGCCCGTAGGCGTTGACCGCAGACACTCTGAACTGATAGTCAGCCTCTTCCGACAGGTTGTTCACCGTGAACTCTGGGACGGGGACATGAGACTCATGGCACCTCACCCAGGTAAAGCCAGTTAGTTTCTTGCGTTCCACGACGTAGCCATCGACTGGAATGGGGCGGTCCATCTTCGGAGGGGACCATGCTAGCGTCACTGAGGTTTCTGTTTTATTTTTCACCACAGGGTCAGCTGGGGGTTGGGTGGGAGGTTTTTTGGGGGCTGCACAAGGGAAAAAAAAAAAAAACAGAGTAAGAAGTTTATGCCAGAGTGGAAAATCCACTGTGCCTCACCAAAAAAGCTTACACTGGACAAAAAGCTACTTTTGCTTAATAAATCTCCATAAAACATTGATGTGAGACAGAAAAGCAAGATAATGGATACAAGACGGTTTTGGTCTGCATTACACAAAGATGTACGATACTTCTACCTCCACAGCTAAACATATGCGATTTCTACACAACATTACAGTTGTCTGCACAGACAAAGAGTCTACAATGAACAACTCATAGGCTTAAATTTTCAGTGCTAGATACAGACCCACACTACTTCCTATACAGCTCCTGGGCAAAGCAGACCAACACTCAGCTTGTTATTTTCACTCAGAAAATGGGTAAAACCACCATCAGAGGTTGTTCAAAATTCTTTGCACTAAATTCCTGTTCCACTTCCCTGGTGTGAATCCAGGCTAAAAAAAAAAGTATTAAATAAAAATACCTCAATGGGATTACTCTGGCAAGGTGGCACAGTTTTGCCCTGCTTACTAGACATCGTTGCACAGGGATAGTTGCACTAATATTGTAAGTCTGCTGGTATTTATCTTCCGTCAGAATTTCAACCGTACACATCTCTGCAGTCAGGAATGTAGATGTGCCTGAGAGAACCAATGCGTGGCAATGTGCCATTGCATCAAGGAAGAATGAGGCGACATTTTGCAATGCTTTACACGCAGGTGTGGCATCCTGCACAGCAATATAAATCTGCTCCATAAAAAGCAGCCTGAGCCAAGAGTCCGTGTCTTCCATTTCTTCTCGAGAACCTGTTCCAACCAACACTAAAAAATTTCAAACCAGATCCTCAACATTATTAAACGCAGACGAGCTAAACTTTGTGCAACTGGGACATTTCAGAGATAAAGGACATGAATAAACAGTCCATGGGTTTTAGAGTTATGGAGATCTCAGTTGCTTGTTACACAGGCTTGGCTGTTCTCTGAAGCTGCTCTCATCTGGGTATCTTTCCTCTGTCCTTTTTCTGAATTTTATGCCACTCAGAAAGACATGTTGTCACTCTGTCTCCCAAGAACCATGGCTATCATTGGGCATCTCTGTTTTAGTAATTTATGCAGAGCCAGCTTTTGGGGTTGGGGAATGAGCTTCAAAAGGAAATGACAAAGAAATGTCCCCACCGTCAGACCCTACGATCGAGGAGATGTGGCTATTTTACAGCACCTGAGGTCACAAACATATCCCTGCAGGTATTTGCATAATGAAGATTTACGTTCACCCTCTCATTCTTCTTGAACCCTTTAGAGAAGACTCAAGTCCCGTCAGGGTTATTCACTATGTGCTGCCACTGATCTGGTCAAGAGGCTGGGAACTACCCGATAGGCTCTGGTTACAGATTTACTGACAAGGTAAAGCTTTAATTTCATTTATTTTTGTGTATTTGAAAGGTGTCTGGTTTAAATCAGTCAACCGGACTCCAGCTGTCATCCCATGGAGAACAGCACACTCAGAAGCAATTAATCTCAGCTTAAAGAAGGTATGTGAGATGGGTGAAATAAATCACGCATTGTAGATACTGAAGTATTCATGACTATAGAGAGAACTTGTACAATGAGCCCAGACTGAAAACCGAACTCTGGGACAACTAATCATCTCCCTGCCTCAGTTTACCCATCTGTAAAATGGGCATAGTAACAACGCAAGATACTGATCAAATAATATATAAACATTGCTTGCCTGATAAATGTTATTAAAACAGCTAACACCGATCTTGTCCAACTAATTGAAAAAGATGTGAACATGGTACACAGGATTCTTCAAGCAGCTAATCTCATATGCATGAAGTGTAAAAACCAGGAAATCTCAATGCGATACACTTTTCCTTCATTACATAAATAGACACTTAAGTGTTTTGGGTGCACAGTTACCACCCTGTCAGTTACTGCTGGTCAGAGCTGGATGCCAAAGGTCCCGTTCGTATAGCATTAAGCTGAACACTAGACCCTGGAATCAGATCTCTTGACCTTACCGTCAGAACCTGTAATGTAATATTTTGTTCAGAGATACCTGTTTATGGGAAGGCAGCTTCTTACCTTTTTCTATTCCGTGAATCAAGACTTGCTTCATAACTTAAACAGCAGAGTCCAAACTCAGACTGAACTTTGCCATTCCCATTGAATAAGTGCATGGTTGCATGCTAAAGATTTCCAAAAACCTTGGAAACTGTCACAATTACCTCATTTTTCCTCATTTTAGCTCAATAGCATCAGAATGCCCCATCCAATTTTAGATAACACAGCAGTTTTAAACCTTTATTTAAAGATTTCTTTTTACCACTCAGTAATTGCAATTTGGTGTTGGTGGTGGGAGAAAATAAGTATTATTCTTCCCAAATGGTGACTTGTTCACATGAAAACTGGAACTGCAGCAGAGCCAGATATCACATGCAGTTCTCTGCCTTAAATGAAGCAGCTTTTGCCTAGGAAACGCAATGCCATCAAAATAAAGCTTCATAAAATTAGGCAACTTGACCAAAATTCCATTTCTGGTCTGATCTCAACTACGCTACACCTGCTGCTACTGCTCTTTCAACGGAAACCCTTGCTCGGATTAGATGTGCCAGCTGAAGGAATTTTCCAGCCTGCATATTATATCAGTCTCCCCAAGTAAAGCTAATCAAGACAAAGGTCCCCTCTTTCAGCATAACTGCCGTCAATTCACAGGGTCTTCCCAGCTTTGTCATGTCACAGAGAGGATGAGAGAGGACACGCTTTGCTGGTCTCCACAAAAGGAAGGAAACTATATTTTCAGGAAGAAGCATTTCCCCTTTTTCTTGCACATTTTGGTGTTTGTTTGGGGTTTTTTATTTTACTTCAATGCAAACAGCTTAAGAAGCTAAAATCAAAGTAAGAGGTTTCAGGTTTAGTGAACACTTGACTGGCCCTGAAATGCTTCATGTGCATGTGTGTGTAGATGTTCCTTCACAGATGTTTCTGATTGCTAGAATGGAAATACTTTGCCAAAAATGTTCAGGGCACCTATCTACTTCCCTATCATAGCCAGCATACTCACAAGCTACTCTCATGTCTCTGTCGACTCAGTTCCTAGGGAAGAAACTGAATGCTTGCTGACTCTCTCCTCCAAATCCTCAGTGAACAGAGTGAGGGAGAGATAAGTGACCCCTATTTGCTAGAAGTGTAATACCTATAGCAAGAATTGATAAATGCCCCTCAAAGAAACTATTTTGAAAACGGAGGTCCATGTGTAGGTGGAGCACCCACAATCCTCTGTGTACAATGAAATAAGGAGACTGCAACGTATGCAACTTACAGGATGGTTTTTTTTTTTCTAAGCACCTCCTCATGGGTAGAACACGTCTCTTACCTCAAATTTTACTCAGTTATCAGTTTATATCCACTCCAGCACGAAATGAGGATGGTACGAAGACACGAGTTTGTGCCATTCTCTTTCCCCAGGACTACTCTCTTTGCTTTGATCTCTTCACAACATTTCATAAAGCTAACATTCAGGCTGTCAGCCTTTCGTGGCAGACATCAAACCTTCTTCTGTCTTTGGACATCAAACTTACCATGGCAGTACCTGAAACAGTGCTAGCATGAGAGTACCTGCTTGCTAGGGAAGACCTAACACTGACGCCGAATAAAAGTGAAGCTTACTGGTCACAGTGAACTGGGTAGAAGTCCTGCTTTCATCAGCCAGGAAGGCAATCTCACCAGCATCTTCCATCTTACACTCTCTGACAGTCATGGTATGTTGCTTGCCAGAACATGTGATGGAAATTCGATCACTGGGTTTCACCTCTTCTTTATTTTTCAGCCATCGGATGTTCTGGCATTCATTGTCCAGCTCAACACAGAAGATGGCCGTATCGTTTATGAAGACTGCAGTCTTTCGTGGAAGTTTTTTAATGATGTTCCCTTTAAAGAAGAAATTAATGATCAACAAACAGTAGATATTAAAGTTTCCAGCAATACTGGACCATCCAGACTACAACAGGACCAGCCAACAGCTCTCACCTAGTCAAAACATTGTAGACACTATGCAGACAACCCTAAATGAATTCCTAGTTATACGGAATAGATAACCCCCAGCACCCATTTTCGCCTTCAAAGACACAAAAGCAATCCTGTTTGACTACAGTTGCTCATGTTTCTAGCTTAACATGCAGAGTCTGCTCTTGGGTAAACACAAGGTATGTGGTCTTGTCAAGAACAGATTTGACAGTGATACAGCTTTTATTGCCCTCATATGCTGGGAATTAAAACTAAAACTTTGCTAAAGTCAGTCAGTCTTAAACCAGACAGTTCTCCCATCTGTCTTGGGGATTTTGCCTCCATCACACTTACCAGTAAGTTACATAACCAAGACAGCAAACACACCAGTCACCTGAATTCATAGAAAATACGCCAAAAAACTCAGATTTCTTCTTACATTCAACCCAGAAATTCACACGGAATTAACTTCACTTACTCGTGTCCTTTCCAAGTGACTGTGATGAGTATCACTTATTAGAATAACCTCAAAGTTACAAGGTGTGACTATTGACAGGAGAGCCTGGACCAAGGCATCAGAGAACCACCCCTGCTGGCAGGCGGTGACTGGCTCCAGCCCCGGAACAGTCCCTGCGAGGCAAGAGAGCCCTCACTCAGGCAAAGCACCTAGAGCTATTTAACGAGAATCAATGCTGAACTCCTTTATGAAACAACAGACCAGCCACATGTTTCATCAGCGGAATCCAAGACCCTGATTCCCTGCTCCTCCTCTCCGAAGCTTAGCCACGTGTCTGCTCCTTGCTGCCCTCAGCAGTGTCCCCATCCCCGCAGCCCGTTGCACCCTGCCAAGCTCTTGCATTCGCCCAACCTCACCCAGCTCTCTGGAACCTTCTTCCCCCGGGGCAGGCACAGGGCTCTCCCAGGAAGGCTCTGCCTCCTTTCCATCCCGAGAGCTCCACCTGGCTCGGTCACTCTTTTTTTTGGTGGAGCATGCCGTGTACCATAGCACAAACAAGTAAAACAAATACCAGCTGTCCTATTGCGGCCAAACACGCTTACAGTGTTTGGCTGGTCTAGCCCTAACAGAAGGTGTAACAAAAAGATGTCTCCAGGCTAAATTCCCCCCTCTATCTCCACCTATCTCTCTTCTCTTCGCTAATGATACAAAAAGGAATTTGCACAAGGATGCATGGCACCCAGCTGTCACGCACCAATTTATTTTAGCAGAGAACTTCTGGTTTCACTGGGAGCAAAGTCAGGCTTCAAACGAGACAGGACAAGTGCGATCCTCTTACTATCACAGGTCTTCAACTGACGCTAGAGGAGATGTCAACGATACCAGCATGGGCATCATCAAAATAAAAATTACTGGTCCTGGAGTTGCATGGGTAGGTTCTTATTCATACAGCAAGTCATGGAGATCAGAACCGATCGCCCCTTCTGCAGACATGCCTGTGTCTGCTGTGCACGTTTACTGGCTGTGAGACACCTACACCATAACAGGCTCTACACCCACTTGCACTTCAGTCCCAAACCACCAGACTCAGGCGATTTGGACATGGATCTATAGCCATATTTTTCCCCTTTCTCATCAGCTTTTCAAACTCCAGAGAACAACTCTGGATGTCAGAGATCTCGAGCGTGGATCTGATTTTCAATCCAAAACCGTACTGGTGCTGACCGCAGCCTGCACCACACATTGGACCATAAGCCACAGCTGCTCAGCTAGCTTCCCAGAGTGGTCAGCACCACTTGCAGACAAGATTCACCGTTGTGTTTGTGGACACCAGACAAGACCTGTGTTAGGAGCCAGGAGACGCATCCGTTGTGTGGGATCATGTTAAGGAAACTCTACAATGCTAGGCTACAGCTCAAGGAGTTTGCCTTCTAGGAAGCCCCTTTAAGCGTAGGGCCCCACCAGGTGACGTATCTTGTGCAGCAACACAATCTGTCCCTGCTCTGTGACCCTGTGTCCCAGATACACCCTGGCAGGAAATCCAGGGACCCACTGACCCACCACACGTGGCTCTCCTCTCACACCATAAGGGAGTCTGCTGGTCTTCACTGCACACATGCACGGGGTAAATGCCATTCACAAGGTTGAGTCCGGAGTCTCATGCGTGAATCTCGCGCTCAGTAGGTGAGACTTGGCCAACCTGAAATAGCAAGAACCTTTCTTACCTTGGACAGACAACTCTGCGATGGTCCTGCTGCCTTCTTTCATCTCACAGATATAGACAGCATCATCGTCTGCAGTCACGTTCTGGACAGTGAGCCGGCGATATGTGCCTTCTTCTTCGATGTTGTATTTCTTGCTCTGCCGGAGTTTTGTTTCCTCCTTGAACCAAGCCGTTTCTGTACTAGGAACAGGCACTTCACATTGGAAGGTGGCAGATTCCTTCTCCCTCACTTCAAGATCCTTCAGTTTTTCCTTGAAAGGTATCGAAGGTTCTTAAGAGGATAAAAACAGCAAGGAGAAACAAGAGTTTGTGATGGTCTGGGGTAAGAGGCATGCAAATAAATATGTCAATAGAAAAAAAAAAATTAAGACTCCTTATTAATGATACCGATTTGTCCTGAGCTGCCATCCAAACCCATAATCAAGCCCTACTACAGTAGGTGTTCTACTCTGATGTAAAAAAAATCCCAGGTTAAATATTTTTCAGGACTTAGAATCATTTAGAATCACAGAATCATTTAAGTTAGAAAAGACCCTTACGATCATCAAGTCCAATCGTGGACTCTCTTTCTAGACTTTTCTAAAAACTAAGCAGTATCAGTCTGAACTGCAGTACCTGCCCCACGACATCACACGGAGGACGTTGTTCTAATCCAAAGCAATGTGAACAAGCTGGTGAAGCACCAGGTTAATAAATTCTGCTTTTGTGGCCTGTTTGTCCTCTAGCGTGAACGTACCTGCATTGCACCCTGTCACCTGGCGATGCCAACAAGGTGAAGGGCAGGCACCACTCAGCCTGACTCTATACATACAGACCTATAGATTATAGCAGCAGCTGCTTCACATCAGGGTAAAAGCCCTTAAAAGATGCTACAGGTGGGTAAATAGGAAACAAGCTGGTCTTAGGGAGAGGGCACAGGGCAGCAATTCTGGGCGAGCCTGAGCAGCTGAGCTGGTCAGCTGGTGCGAGAACCAATGTTTTAGGGGTCTTGCAGCAGAAGTGAGCTCAGTGGAGGGATCTGAAAGGGCACAGAAAGACGGGAGGTGGCTGCGCGCACAAGGACACACGTGGGGGAAAGCACAGAAGGAACCGATGGAGGAGTTTTCTCCCCACAAGCACCAAAGCCTCTGTATCAGCTTCCGTCAACGACAATAAAAGAACTAGAGAAAGAGCCCGGGTGTCCCAGCCACCTCTGCTTCCCTCCAGCAAGAGGGCTGCAGTGCTCTGGCTAAGGGAGAAGCCAGCGCGTCGATCAAACACACAAAACAGCTGCGTGGCAGCGAGGGAAGACATCTTAGGAAGAGAACAACGCTTAATTCCAGCGACGGCTGCGCTGTGAAGTCACCCTGATACCCCAGCACTCAACTGAAGAAAGGGGAGCTGGACTGAAGAGGGCGGCCGGTGGTCACAGCCACGGGGCCGGTGCCACAGTCACGTCGCAGGCTTGGGTTAGCCAGCGCTGACGCATCGCCGCTGGTGCTCTATGAGAGCTCACGTCTCGACGTGCACCTTCGTCTTCTAATAACTACTGCACCAGCTCCCAGCCCTTTCTCTGTGACTCCGTTCTCCCTCTGCCTGACCACGTGCACACCCCCAGGCTGGTCATTTCATGTGGTCACTAGCAGCCAGTAATGCCAAGCGTTAGTCTAACAGCCACACAGAAGTAGACTTGTCTTAGATTTATAAGCCCATGACCATGGCACAGCCCGCTCAGAGTCACAGTGCTCTAGAGGTTGGAGAAACCAACATGCGCTCCGCATGTTAGTGATCCTTTTTTATTTAACCAACGGGCAGCTCAGACTCCTGCCCTGCAATCCCATCGATCACCTCTGGAAGCACCCCGTGTATTCAGGGGGAATGAAGCAGCTGTAATTCTCACGCCATGGGAACAAGCAAGAGGATGAGATCAAGAAAGCATTAATCAGAAGGATGGCAGCCTCCGGGAGCTGGGTGCGGAGCTGCTGTCTGAGAGAGGAGGGAGCCTGGATCTGACGCTGGGAACACACAGACGTGCCCAAGGGACAGAAGGAAGTATGAGATGCACCTGAGCAGCTCACAGGTGTCTTCCGACACTTGGAAGAACTGGCCATATCATTAACCCCTCACCCTTCATGGTCACTAAGCAGTGTCTAAGATTTTAAAAAAAAAAGTTGCTCTAGCAAAAAGCTCTTAAACGTACAAATGCAGAAGAGCTGGTTGACTCTTTTGTACGTGTTGCAGTAAACAGCACTGCTTTCCCATCCAGGGGAAGTAGGTGCAAGGGTCTCTTTGGCAGCCTGGGGTCACAGATAGCCTCTGAAAACAACTTTGCTTTCGTCCTACTGACATGTGCATCTTATCTCGCTCTGAACAGGGCTTCAGCGAGACAGCAGCTGATAAACTGAATCAAAGCCTGGGATTCACCCAGCACAGTGCTTGTTTTTTTGTTGGTTTTTTTTTTGGTTTGGAGATGTCAGAGAGGCTCCAAAATCCACCATCTCCAGCCTCATCTTCCTGAATCTGTCTTCATGTTCTTTACATCATCTAGCATGTACCTGGTCAGACAGAGAGGGTTAGTTTTGGTCAGGGGACTACAGAAGGACCACAGGTCTCTTTAGGGTGGGCATCCCAAACAATTCATCTGGCCCATAACAAGCCCCTGCCCAGGTGGCAGGAGGGAACAGGGTCTCCAGCTGATCAACAGGCAACACAGACCTCAAGGAAAGATCTGTGAAAGGCAAGTGGCTCATCTTCCATGTTAACAGAGTAATCAACACAGCCTGAGTACATAACCGTGTAACATTTACATGAAAAAGACTTTTTCTGAAGGAGGAAGCACTAAACTTTACACCAGCCTTTCAGTGTACTTTCCACTTAACTAGTTAAATGTGAAAACAAATAAATACACTTACTTTCCCACTGGCCAGCGTGGTGAGTGGAGCAGAGACCTCTGGTACCCTCTTTCCCCCACACTGGCCTGCAACCTGTCAGATTTTGACGTTTACACTGCAAATTCTCTCTTATCTATTTGTACAGCACCCAGGACAACTCAGAAATACTCTGTGTTGTACTACAGGCACATCAGGAAGAGCCACTGCAGATAACTTTTACATTTGATTTGACAGACCCCATAAACATTGATGGCTCATTTCTAAATGCCTGTTTGTCATATATTACCCTTTCACACAAGGTAATTGTCAATGTAAGCTTGTGTTAAGTATGACTCTAACATGGAAGATAAAGCCATTTTCCTTATTAAGCAAAATGTTCATAATATCTGAAAATGTCCTTGTAATATAAGAAAAAAGTGCGTTCAGCTGAGGTTACATGTGACATTATCGCAGGGACCCTCTGTTTCAGATAAGAAGTGCCACCAACTCCCATCTCTAGTTCCTATAAATATCAGAGCTGATTAGAAATTATTTAACATGGAGCAAGAAAGGTGATTTCTGATCTTTCAGTTCCACAGCAAAATGTTGATTTTGCTCAGAACACTCAGTTATTCAAACCTCCTTTGAGAAAATCTAGCTGGTTTGTGTTGGAATGACTGGAGTGGAAACGTGATCTGGCATGGTGCTTTTTGGAAGCCGTGGTTTGATGGTTTCCTGACCACATCCTTTCCTACGGATGCTCTCCCAGCTGGGCTGTGTCTCCCACAATACAAAGCACATTCAGCTCTGCTCAAGTCACCAGAGCTCCATGTAGACGTGAGTCCCAGGCACCATGGAAGACACAATTTAGACACAGCTGACACAGGCTGCAGTGGAGGAGCAGAAGCAAGAGGTACGTCAGCTGTACACCTTGCAAGCCGGAAGAGCAGTTCAAGTGGATGTCATTTCATACAGAACCCAACCAAAAGTACAGAGGAGTGTTCTTACGATAACTCCAAATCGACCATTATCTAGAAACTTTCACTTCCATGAGACCTCAGTGGTGTGAATTTGAATGGCAAATTTTGTCCTTCTAACACCTGGACTCCCAGGACACGGCTCATTTTCATTAACTCAGAGTCCCCTGAGAGTTCCTTTAGATTAATCTCTAGTATCAATATGTTTTGGGTGGTTTTGTTTGTTTGTTTTACTACAGTTTTTTCTGTTAATCTGTTTTTTAGCCAAAGCAGAAATAATCATTAAGGAATGTAATGAAGGCAATCACATTTCTAAAGAAGGAGAAATAAGACAGAAAATAAGAGATCTACAAAAGCCTGCCTATTGGGAAAAATGTGAGCTAGAAACAGCAAAGCAAAACCCTGAGGGAGCATGGAGCAAGAGCAGCTCATGGACTTAACAAGAAACTGCAAGAGCTTAGGTCAGATATGAATTTGGCTGCTTGTCTTGAGAACATTTTTCTCCAGAGTGTCATAGGCTTTTTTTTTCAGTCCACACCAACCAAACTAGCAATGAGATGATGTTATTTTTTAAAAGCAGGTCTTGCTAACACATATTTTGCTAAGAATAGGTGCAGCCTGCAAAGAAGCCAATGTTTCCTTAACCTTCTCAAGGCGTATCTGTCTGCTTGACCTGGTCTTCTCACTTGCCTACATTTCCTTTTGCCTATTCCTGTCCTTCTCACGGGCTCTCCATTGATTATTCCAGAGGCAATTTTTCCCTCTGTGTAACAAAAATGATCCAGTGAGAGTAAGAATATGGAAAATCCTTCCAGAGGGAGCTATCTAGAGGTGCATGGACAAGCTTCCACCATCTTGTGCCTTTGGTCTTCTTCCTAGTTACTGTGCTTTCCAAGTTTCCTTTCTACCTCCACATTTCTCAAGTTCTCTTTCAGATCTCAAATGTGACTACCATGACAGTGGTCATCCAAAACCACTTCAGGACAGAGAGGAATAAAGTGGCCTCAGCACTAGTTTCTTTTTCCACTCTCTATCCTATTTGGCTTGCAAACTTTAACCTTTTCATACAGTATCTGATTACTGTATTCGGGGACTCAGATGAACATTTCTTGGCCCAGACCCAAGGATGGAGACCTGCACACTGTTCTTGCTAACTTTACGCAAGGCCTCAGGACATGTCCAAAGCCTTCAGGAAATTCAAGTCAGTTGTTCTTGTTCCTCCTGTCCTCTCTGCTCTTCGGTTTGGCAAAAATCATAGACTCATAGAATCTTTTAGGTTGGAAAAGACCCTTAAGATCATCAAGTCCAACCACTAACATTACCAAGTCCACCACTAAACCATGTCCCTAAGTGCTACGTCTACACATCTTTTAAATACCTCCAGGGATGGTGACTCAACCACTTCTCTGGGCAGCCTGTTCCAATGTTTGATAACTTTTTTGGTGAAGAAACTTTTCCTAATATCCAATCTAAACCTTCCTTGGCGTAAAGGCTTACTCTTGGGCAGTATTTCCTAATTTATTTTACTTGTCACATTTCAGCATATGGCTTGTGATTTTATTCCTGCTCTAGACACTAGAATCCAGCACATTTCTGAATTGGAGTAATCAGCTCTTGGTTTTCCTTAATTGTGAGAGTGACACTCTGCCCTGTAGCCTCTTCTTTGAGATTTACGTCTGATTCACAACATCTCATTTAGAAACAGCTCAAAAATCTTTTTTTTTTCATCTCCGTGATCTTAAAGGCATGGGTTCAGAAAATGCTTACAAATGTGTTGAGTCTCTAGATCTAGTTTGACAGAACATAGGAGGCACACTAGAGGAGAGGTTTGACCTGTGCCCAGTCCTATGCCCTGAGAGACTGCTAAGAGCCACCTTACAGACAGTATGCTGGGCTAGGTAATCTTTTTTTTTTTTACCTTTAGAAGACCCATAAATATTCTCATTCAGAGTCTTGTGTTGAAATGCTGTGAACCAAAATGCCAGAGTATATTCAAACCCACGAAGCTTCTCTTTTCTCGTACCTGTGTCTATAAGCACACACTGCAGATGCAGCATCACGGGCTCCATAAACGTGCTGCTGCCTGCAGAAGGACCAACGCAGCAGCGTGGTGCTTACCAAGGTTGGCTGCTTGGAGAATTTCACCTCTTCTGCATGACTGAGCAAAGAGAAGATTGTGTGGGAAGATGACCTGCTCCCCTAAACACGATGGAAAATGAGCTAATGCCATAAACAACAGAATTAAAAGGCCCCTTCATTACTACATCATTCTGAGCTGTCCCTGGAGGGCTGAGAAGGACTTCTGGTGACACAAAGGAGAGTCATTATTCAGGGCCTAATTATAACCAACACACGTAGATTTTCCATGGCAGCCTTGGCCTGGTCAGAAAGCCCAATATGGTATTGTATAACAAAGAAACAGACCATAAACATTTCCACTTAAGCCCTCTGACTCACAGGCGCCTCTTGACAATGGACATTGATCAATAGCTTTTTCCCGTGGTGCTTACTCCCAGACCTGCTGCTTCGCATGCTTTCCCCGACTCCTTTGGAACAGGTTGCACCCATTGGGAATAATCAGATAAGCACGGGCAGAAAGGAGGGTGCCCGTCTTTGCAAAACAGATGTTGGGCAAGTAACGGAGCTTGAGCCATCCTCAAAGTGAACACCCACCCAAGGGTCACCCATTACCTCCGAGTCCCGACTCATGAGGTAACCACAGCTTTATGGAAGAGGACAAATGCCCTTCCCAACAGCACTCAGCACCTCCAAGGGATGGCAATGAGTGGGACAAGCGCCAGTGAGTTCCACGGATCAGGTGTCACTGATGGACATGGGGACTGAGTCACTGACGGGAAAGACTGTGAGTATGAAAGGAGAGGTCCAGAAAAGGGAAACCAGAAAACCAAATAAAGGTTATAAAAGCTGAGAGTCTTAAAGACAGGTAGGAAACACAGGCTATTCCTACTCTTTGGGATTTCTAATTTATTTTGCTGCCAAAAACATCTATTTTGCCACTCAAATGGCAAAGCCTTTCACATCTGTGAATTCATTTACAGGTGTTGCCTGGGTTGCAAACTGCCTGCTGTAACCTTGCCAAATGAAAGAGCAGCTTGAAAACTTAGAGTTTCCTTTGTGAAAATATGTGTGTCACATTTTTGTTGCCATCCTGAAGAACCTGGTCTGATCTCCACCAGCACTGAGGGATCCTCTGAAGGCAACTTCATCACCACTGGCCACAGCAAATAGAGGCATCCTGGTCCTAGTAGCGTTCTGGGAGCATACAAGGACTACAGGCTATCCAGCAACACAAGCTGGGAAAAGGCTGACGAGGCCTGGCAAGAACAAGGCTGCTGGTGGGTCACACTGTACAGGAAAACTGAGATGGACTGTAATTACAGTTGGAGTAGGTCTCCCAAGGGATCCAAGGCAGCCTGACACATTCAGCTTGCAGGGAGTTTACTTCTGCTTGAATTGCATGTGTGTGCCAGTTTGTTTAAACCCTGGGGTGAATATAAAGGCTTTAGCGGTCCCTGATCCAGAGGACGGTAACGGATCTCTTTCTTAGATTGCTATAAAACCAGGATGGATGGGAGATGTAGAGAACTGGTTCACCCCCGCTGCCCCACAGCCAGCCAGTTCTACATCATCTATCCCTGACTGACCCCTTCCTAAAGCCCCCCAGTGATGAGACTCTCTCCCCAGGCCATCTGTTCCAGTGCTTAACCCCCTTTACAGCTGGCGGGCTTTTCTTCATGTCTAACCCGCGCTCCTTTGCAGCAGTTTGGTGGCAGAAGTTTTGTTCACACGCCCACCCCAATTCAGAAGAGCATTGCCTGTCTCCTTGCAGGCATGCCCACCCCGGTGAGGAACATAAGCACCCACCTTTGACGGTGACGAGCACAGAGCTGTACGTCTGGCCTGCCAGGTTGGAGGCCGTGCAGGTGTACAACCCATTGTCTATCTGCTTGCAGAAGAGGATCTTCAGCACAAAGTTCTCCTGATCATCCTCATAGATGACGTGCCGCCGCCCTTCCAAAATGACCTCGTTGTCCTTCTTCCACACAATCTCTGGCTTGGGCTCGCCCGTCACATAGCAGCTCAGCTTGGCGTGCTTCCCCTCTGTCACGCTACACGTGCGTGTCAATGCCCCAAAAGTCGCGTTGCGGGCCCCTTTGGTGGTAAGTCCAGCCGCTCTCTCGTAATCCCGGGAGAGGCTGTAGCTGATGCCGGACAACCCTTCTGCCATGGAATAAGACTGGGCAGACACTGAATCGAGAGCCCCATGGGAGATGTCCATCTTCCTGATCTCCTCCCGCCTCTTTTGCAAGTGAGACAACAAGGATGCCGTCTTGCCACAGCTGGTATCGAAGTGGCTGGCCGCGCCCGGGTG